CTGAAAGTAAAACTTTGGATTTAATGGAAACTAAAGAAGAAAAATTGTTTTGTTGCATACCAGTGATATTTATCTCATCTGTCTTTAGGCCTCTACCATATACCTAAATAAGGATATTCCCTCTGTCAATGAATATTGATAGGCTCCTCCAGGGAAAGCAATCCAAAGCAGATGCATTAGTGTTTACCAATATCCAACCTACAGCTTGTTTACTGCAAATTAAGCTCTTACTTTTTCCTTGTTTTTCCTAGTACCTATGAAGATTAATTGATTACTGTACTTTCTCAAAGCTGTTGGGAGATGGCTATCATGGCTTTCCTAGTTTTGTGTTTATTTTTCTGTCTTCCAGTCTAAGAAAAGCCTAGTACTTTATCTTTTTCTTACAGATCATGTTTTTAAAACTTTTTTCCTTCTTCTTTTTCTTCCTTGGAATGCATTTAATTTGTCTGCATCTTGTATATCATTCAGTCATTAAAGAGGACTTGTTACTCTTGCAAAGGCCTCCTGACTGCTAAGTGAAATACAAGACTTCTTCATGGATCTTGAAGGGAATGTCTTTACTTTATACAAGTAAATTGAATGGTAAGTGTCTTTTATGTGAAAATATCATGCTAGTGAAGCATATTTAGCTAACGATAGATTTTGACAGCCAGATCTTGTTCAGCATTCTTGAAGGCCAGACAAATTTCAGCAGTAAAAGCTGGTTTGCTTCTTTAGCTTTGCACTTATCCTCACTGAATGTTGTTTGTTGCTTTCAGACTTTCTCTTCAGGGGTCCAGATTCTTGTTGATGATTCTCATCCTGTCCCTCTGAGTGCTCGTAACCTCTCCCAGCTTGGTGCTTTTGGAAAGCTGTGTAAGCTTTCACTCCACACACTATACATGTTGTTCAGAGCAGTACTGAGCAGACCCAGGCTAAGCAGATCTCTGCAGGACCCCCATTCAAAATCCCTTCTATTCCTGCAGGGAACCACTACTAGCTCTCCTTGGAGCAAGTTTTGTAGTTATCTTGTAGTGATTTAATTCAGAGGATATTACCTATGCTGGCCAAGGTAGTGTGGCATGGGACAAAGCCAAAGCTCATATTGTGAGAATATGTAAGTATTTTGGGAACTGCCTGTCTCATTTGGAGATACAGTACAAGATTTGCAACAGCAGGAATGGAAGGAGAGGTGGAAGAGGTAGGTGTGTGCCTAATTATGTTTAGTCTCAGTGAGTACTGAGGAGACCTATTTCTTGGTGTTCTTGGGTTGCTGTAATACAAGCTGACTCTGACAAGCCATACAGCATTTATGGATGTATTTTATCATGTTTTCTGGTCTTCTGTGGGAAAATCTGGTCCCTAGAGTGTGTTATGTGATGGCTGGCTTTCAGGGGCATGACTTTCCAGTAGCATCTCTCTGTCAGGCCAGGCCAGTTTACACAGGGAAAACCATTAAAGTATTTTTACACCTGACAACATACATCTTCTCTTGCTTCAGTGACCTTTGGGAACACATTTGTCATATTCTTCTAGACTTCTTGTATTTGCAAGAAACCACAATGGGGCAGGGCTGGCAGCATCTGCCAGATAAACTTCCTTAGAGACTACAGATTCAAGAAAGCATATGAGAGGAGAAAACTCTGGATGCAATAAAGTGCCCCCTTAGTAAGGGTGTACATAACATCCTCCAGGAAGTTTTCTGCTCTGTAGTCACATCCACCTTGGCAGGGCTTACTGGGTGATGCCTTTTCCAGCAGAGTCTGGGGCTGCTGGGTGGATGGAGAACCCTCTCCAGCCCAAAGGGTGGAGAGTGGCACAGGACCATGGCTGGGCACCCAAACCAGAATTGCCCACTAGCTATAGTAGCTATAAACCTCTCAAGAAAATCATCTCTGGGCAAAGCAATCACCCTACCCCTTGAGGGGGCTGCAGAAGGGGTGGTGGGACACTCTTGTTCCGCAGCCTTGGAGGTGTCCTGGCAGAGCAGGTGTGTGCAAAGGCCTCCAGTTTGAGCTCAAGACTCCCAGCATAGGTGATGTGGCTGAAGCTGCGCAGCCGTGGCCAAGAAAATGCTCCTGTGGGAGGGGAGGTTTCCCTCCGTGCCATCACAGATCATCCTGGAGGCTGATGGTGCCTCACACCAGGATGGTTCTCCCGGTACTAGTGCGTGCCACCAGATGATTTTTCACCCCAAATTATGCTGCTTGCCTTCCTGATCTAGCAAGGGAAGAAGCGGGGAGAGCTGGCAAAGCCCCGCAGCCCCTCCCGGGTGCCTTCGGGCGCCCTGCAGCTCCCGGGCCCGGGCGGAAAGGCATCCGGGCCCCACCTCGCATCCCTCTTCCCTCGGCAGCCGAGCCCGGCCAGCAGGAGTCCCTGTTGCTTGTCTCAGGGAATCACGCACGGCTTAAATCTCGCCCATCGGACAATTCCTGCTTCACGCTGTTTCTCCCGCCAAAGATAATCGCACGCTAATACGGTAAATCACGGTGTGGCACCGTGACCGGTGCCAAATGCAGCCGGCAAATGCTGCTGGGGGCGATCTGTGCAGAGATACTGAAAATGGAAAATAAACTTCTAACTTTCTGGATTCGATCTCCCTTAAGAACAGGCTCATGTTTGGACCTTAAATCCAAAAGTAGTGAAGTAATAGAAATCTTTCCAAACAATCTACTTTCCTCCCGACAACGTGTAGCTTCTCTTTGAACTGCAGCAATTCAGTAGCTTTGGAAGGCTCATTTCTGAAGTTTAACGACAGCAACAGCCTGACAAAATTAGTGCTGAACACATAGGAAGCTGTGCTGCAAATTATTTTGGTGAAAATGAGAAGAAAGATCTGCTATTAATCACCTGCAAGGGCATGAACTGTGAGTCATTATTAACTTAAATAACTTCTCTTAAGAAATAATAGTTTTGCATTTGTAAATGTTACTAAACAGGCAGAATTAATGCCCATCCATTTCTTAACTTCTGTAATATTTATTCCAGTATTTGCTAGTAAGCTGATGTCTAAGCAGAGTATTGGTGATAAGAAAATTATTTACATTTGTATTACTTGGTTAAAAATAATTGAGGGGGCTGCCTACTTTGAATCTAAAAGTAGTCATTAGTGTTTCAGTGCATATTTGCAGAGCAAAGTAACTGGCAGGACCCTACATTCTCATTGGGAACGTAAAAATTATGAGCCAGGGAAAAAACCTGAAAGCAATAGAAAGAACAAAGCATATTCACATACACTTTGAGACAATTCATCTGACAACTGAGTAATAAACTGATGTTATGGACTGTGTTTAAAATGCCTGTAGCTAGAAATATAAAGTAGGAAAAGATTCAAGTACTTTGCCTGTTCCACCCATTAACCAGTGACATATACCTCAATTTCTATGGAGTGATAACAATTTTCTGTGGTAAGAGAATTAAATCATGATGACAACAAGATGTGATTGCATGCAATGTTTAAGGTTGTCAGTAGATGCAGTAGGTTAAACAGCTAATACTCACCATACAGTATGGTTAACATGGACACAGGCATGACAAGGAAACCCAGCAGCATATCAGCTATTGCAAGTGACATTAGAAAATAGTTAGTGGCATTCTGTAGTTTTTTCTCCAGTGAAACAGCCATGATGACAAGAATATTTCCAGCAATGGTTAAAACAATCACTATCACTGTCAGCAAAGCCGGCCAGTTTTTCTGTGAAGGGCAGCACGGTGGGCTCATGTTACTTTCGCACGAAAGATTGGTTAGGTTGTCAGAGTTCACAGTCAAGTTGCAGAGATGTGATATATTAATTTCTCCAGCTCCATAAACATTTCTGTAGAATCTTCTCTCATGATTTATTTGTATGAAGGAGTTTGCAGTTGGGTTCACAGAGCTCTCTCCATCACAAAGAATATCCATTGCTAAGTCCAAAACCACAGAGATAAATTGTGAAAAACAGGAAATTATCACCCTTTGTCACCATTGGGCATTATATTCCTCAGGTCTCCATGCCAGAAGTTGAGGGAGCACAATCTTTTGTCGACTGTATTTTTGCCACTAGTACGATGTAGAAAACATACCAGAATTATTCCAAAAGCTGAAATCTTTTGTTTTCAGTTCCATAGGAAGTCCAGTGTTAGCATATATTGAAAATCCAGCTGAAAAGTAAAACCAGGCTGTCGGATACAGAATGTGGACTTGAGGCTTCAGAGAGCAAAAATGTTGGAGAAATAAAAGACATAAAACTTTTGCAACCACTAGGACTCCTCTCTGGAGCTACATCTTATTGCTATTGGTAACTGTTATCACACAATTTTAAACACAGCAGTATTAAAATATCTTTCTGTATTAAATAGCAAAGCTCTTGCTTCTCTATTAAGAAAGTTGATTAATGATTCCATCCAGCATATTTCTCTTGAAATAATTAAATATGCTTTTATTTATAGTGCATCTTCCATAATATGGCTGATAGTCTCTGTCTTCTCTTGTATTTCAGAATCATTTTCAGCCTCATATCAGAGACTACACGTTCTGCTCCATGCTGATTTTTGTAGCTAATTGTACCTTTTGGCCCAGCATGGCTTCAGAATGGAAATTAAACAACTAGGTACTGTTATAAAAGAATACAATTTAAGGAAGACTTACATTGCACTTCAGAGCCCACTTTCAAACTGCAAATAGATGCACTTTGCACCCTGGTTTACCATATTCTTCGCTGTGTTTAGCCAGTTCTGTGTCTTTTTTCTTCAGCCTCTTCCACAATGGTGGTATTTCAAAGAGTTTTTTGACTTCTAAACTGCACACTTGAGTGAAGCCAGTTCCTGTGCTGCGAGGCTTGCTCTTTTCTTCTGAGAGATAGGCTGCTCACCGGCTCTTTCCTTGTGCATTTCCCCGCCCCAGGGCAAGCTATATTTAAAGTAATAATAATATCAGAGCCCTTCTTGAAGTGACACAAAAGAAAGCGCGCGCACACGCTCACGAGAAAGCAGCCTGCACGGAGGAATTACTGATTGCAACAGGAATGGAATTTCTCCCTTGCTGCCTTGTTCGGATTGTCAGACCTCCCACTCTCTGGATGTCAGAAACTGCAAGGTAGCAACAGCAGAGGAGGGCAGGGGAGGGCAGAACAGAGAGGGTCTTTTCGGTAAGCCAGCAGTTTTTTCGGTGCTTATTTTAGAGGATCTCTGCTTGGGGGCTTTTTCAACACACGCTTTCAATTTGCAGTGGATGGCTCACAAACAGCTGCGTGCAATTACAGGGATTTACAGGATGCAGGCTTGAGAGAGACAAAATCTAAGGCTTGTGATCGTAGATATGAGTGAAATATGTATGTGAGAAGTTTTCTCCATAAAGAGGGGAAATTCCACCAGCCTTAAAAGGCAGGCATAATATTCAGTCCCCTTCAGTTTTAACTCCAGGTCTGTGCTGACATGTGAATCAAATTAGCAACAGATATTTATAAAAATTGAGTCGCTCTGATGTCATACTCATTTGTCCGGAGATGGATGTAACAGCTAACTCCAGCAGTCTGTCCCAAGCAGGCATCCCAAAAAAAAAGTAGTTCTGTAAAGCAAAGTGTGTATAGAGCAAAGGGAGGAGATGGATGTAACGGCTAACTCCAGCAGCCTGTCCCAAGCAGGCATCCAAAAAAAAAGTAGTTCTGTAAAGCAAAGTGTGTATAGAGCAAAGGGGAAACAAAACAGCCTGACACTGCTTCTGCCTTGTACCTCTGCTGCCAGGACACACATGAAGAAATAGCCAAGTCTTCAATTTGCCACCTAAAATACCCCAGCTCCCGACTTTGTGAGACTTACAGTTGTCAAATGTTTTGCTGTGCTGCTCACCTGCACATCCTGAAATATATTGCAGACTTCCCTCATGCTGAGGGCAATGGCTTTAAGCAGGCAGGCTCAGGCAGTTTACAGTGAGAGCTCCGAGAGGTGCCAGTGTCACTGGGCACCCGTGGGTACTGGCAGGCCCTTGGGAGCTGCAGGCTCTGCAGCACTCTTAACCCTGCTGCAAATCCTAGGGAACTTCAAACACATTGAGCGTTTCTACAGCTCACTGACATGGGCTAATCTCTTCATAGACCCAAACCGTACCAAAGTGAGTCTCAGAGCACACACTGCAGCACATTCAGATCAGTGGGGCACAGCTACAGAAAGCCTTTCACAATAAAGTTTATTGGAGCCCGTTTTACTCACAGGTGAACCCAGCAGGGTGGGGCAGACGAGGCAGCAGCTCCCACTAATGCCCATGTAGGACTTGGAAATGTGTCATGGCAGTACTAAAGTTTCCCAGTCCCATAGGTGAGGCCAGAAAACTATCAGATAACATAAACTGGTAAAAAAAGGTGGGAATGCTGAACTTAGCAAGAAATGTTTCAGCCCCGGCAGTCTCACCCAGAAGCCAGGAGAGGAAGTTTCCTCTCCCCTTTCATACAATAACCAAATAGGTTACTGTGTTCACCGAGTGAATTTGATATCCATGCTCCAGAGGGTTTGGTGGCCATCCCCATGAACATGGGAGTGCGTATCTGATACAGAGGGTAGGCTCCACTTCTGCTGAATGCAGCCACTGTGCAGCACAGGGCACAGGACCCTTGGCTAGGGCTATCTATGACCTTTGTGAGGAGCCCAGGTGTCCTGCTGTTTTCTTAGAAGGCTGGCTCTGGGCTCTGACAACTATAGCACAGCAGTCGTGGGTGTCATGGATGTCACTCCTAAGGAAGAAGTAGCAATATGTTTATTGATATAACTCAGTGATTTTGCCAAGCTTCATGGGAAATGTGAGAAGGGTTTAATAAGATCTGATGACAAGGTGTTCTTGATTATTTATGGCATAAAGGGCAGGGTCAGACAAAAAAGGCAGGGAGAGAGACACTTCTGTTGAATTGTGAGGTTCAGAAAAGACCTTCTTGTGTTCTAAGCTTCTTCTTAGAAGGGAGTTTGTGTGCCTAATTCCAAACTTAGACTTAGTCAACAGTTTATGTCTCAAGGATTATATGTGCATAATAAATCTTTTGTGTCACTTAGCTAAGATTTCAGAGTTTAGCATGCTATTATTCATTTACTGAGAATCTCTTGAGTCAAGGGATCTCTCAACTCCAAGGAGTGACCTTGAGAGCTACTACTCAAAGCAAAGACCCTGGCAAACAGTCCACTGCTCTGCAGGAGAGATCAATGAGCCCTGGCTGTTCACTATTTATGAAGTAAGGTAATTGACTTCTAGTCATATTTGCATACCAGCTGCAGAAGTTAATTTCTTCCAAACTTGGCCTGAGTTGGACCTTGACAAACAGTATGGTTGGGGGTGTACGATGACTCATTTAAAACTGCAGCTCTACTCAGGACATCAAGAACATAAAAGTGAAGTGCAAGCCACCTAAATGTTGCCTTGCCTAAGACCTTTGCATCCACAGTTGCAAGCTTTTCATTTAAGGACTGCACTATTTAGTTTGGTGTAGCTGTAGACACATGAGTATCTACCACAAGGTCTGAGTACCTTCTGAAATCTTAGCTTTCCTGACAGAAAGCAGTTTGGCATATGTGAAACTGAGGCACAGGCATATTAATATTCTTTTTAGGTTTTCACATGAAGCATTCATAAATCAGAAACCAGTTTTGTGCAGGTTGACATATCAGAAAAAAATCTGTGATCTTATGTCTTCTAACAAGTGTGTTGGATATACAACTGATCATGAGTTTATTGTATTATTTATCTCAGGATTTTTATTTTATTTTTACTGCAAAATTACTCCTCCCAAGAACCTGAAAATTGTTTTCCTTCCATATAGTATCACTGCAAGTATCAAGCAAAGGAAGTGTCCAGTCTTCATTTGTGCAGCCCAACAAAAAGAGGGTACCAGGGCTCGCATCCATCTGCCAAACCAAGCGTGAGCTCTACCTTGAGGGTTCAGTGTGGAAAAACTCCTAGGTGATCAGTCATGTCCAAACCACCCTTGACCACTGCTTTTTCTAAAGGTGGAAAGCTCTGGAAAACTGTAGGTTCCACAATCTTCTATTTTAAACGAAGGAGCTTGCAAGTCGATAGCAGCAGAGCCTCGCACGCTGCGACCTGCAGTCCCAGGCAGCGCGTCTGCGCTAAGAGCAGGCAGCTGCGCTCTGTCCCAGCCTATGTAAATTAAGTGAAATCTTAGCTTAAAATGGCAATAATGTGGTTGTGGTAGACAGAAAGCAGTCTCTAGAAACACAGCTGGCATGGGAACAGACTGCATATTGCTTTTTAATTTCTGGAAGGCACCAACGTAACAAATTCATGACAGCCCTGTTCCCTAGTTCCGCTTGGAAATTTTTTGTAGGACATTATTCTGTTCTCTTCGGTAGGGTTTTTATGCTTGGCATGGTGCACATAAACACTTCCTAGAAATGCTGCTTTTCAACAATTTTCATCTGAAAGAGGAGAAGTTAAAAACCTAGTTTACATAATTCAGATTTGGTGTTCTCAGAATTTCTCCGAACAGGATTGTTTCAGTTGTAAAACTCCCTGAATTCTGAGTTTGCCATTGCTCTCTGGTATTCTGAATAGATTTTGTAATCAGTAAATGTAGTAGCAACTGAGGATGTTAATCAATCACTCTGATATCTAAAAGTGAGGCAAGAGAAATGTGAATAATTTGTGTTGCTGTTGAGACTACTACAGTTTAGTGTCTCTGTTTGCATTCATCAGGGGCTGTTGGATGTGAATCAGAGGCTAGTTATTACAAACCAGGACTAATAACTAAAAACCCTCCTCTCTTTTTGACGCAGTTGAGCTCATTCTGGACCTCTCAGCCTTGTAGACCTATGCCATTGTAGTGAGGTGAGAACAGCTTGACATGAGCCTTCTGAAAATCATGCTGGAACAGCATCCGTCAGCTTTGCTGTTCACAGGTGATGATCCTGAGCAAGCTGGGTTACAGCACCAGAGCCCTTTATGGGCTGGTGACTGTAAATCTGAGGTGAGTAACTGGTGTGTTGTTGTAGGGGTCTTTGCTGTGAAAAAGGATGTCTGTATTAATTTGCTTTGGATTGCTTTTGAATGACAACTGAGTATTAGAAGTTGAGGCTGAAGGGAAAGATGGAATAACTCAGTCTAACTATCATTTCTAAGTAATAAGAAAATATACATCTATATCTATATCTACACCTATATCTATATATCTGAAGCTCTCTAAATTTTTTATGACTATCTGACACACTAATGTTAGTTTCAATCTCTGTACTATCCCAGGTGAAGCTGAATTCATAACTTGCTTTGAAAAATCTGATTGTCTCAAACATCCATGAGTTTTGGGAAGATGTGCCATATTCCTGAAGATTTGTAGGGTGTCATCCTTACTAACCACGTTATTATTTCAGGATCTACAAGTTCCTCTTCCATACTTACAGTTCCAAGGGGAAGTTAAATGTGAGAGAGAACCCAGAGCACCTTAAGACACATCTTTTTTTCTGCCTAAACCGATGCACGGAGGTCAGATTGGTGACACTGTACCTTCAACTCCTTTAGGTTGTGTCATTCCAGTGGAGCTCAATGGAATTACTGTGACATAAAACTGATGGAATGATTAGTTGACTGGAAATTAGAGTCAGAATTATTTCTTTCTCTCATGCGCCATTTTACCCGTTTAAGCATTTCTTTCCCTGTATCAAAATTTTTTAGTGGGAGGAAAAGTTATGAAGGACTTTGATTTGAAAGTATCCAGATATATTGCTTCAGTCTTGTTGTTCTAAATTTGATAGTTTATTATTGTTGTATTAATAATATTTTCTTATGAGCCAGCTAACCAGCTGTGATGCAAATTGTCTTATTCCCAGATTCTCCTGGGCAATTTATATCCACCATGATAGCACACCCAGAGGCAGTTTCAAGTTGAACTGAGTTGGAATAAAATATTCTTGTTCAGCTAAAAAATAAACTGAAATATTTGGTTTGGGTCAAGCCCATATAGTGAAGAAAATATTTTGTTTTTATTTTCCCAAAGGAAACCTGAATGCTTTGGGCAAAAGTGATTTGATTTTTTCCTTGAATAGAAAGTTGATTTTGTGGAAACTTTATTTCCCACCAGAGGCTGAACTGTTGGGGAATGTCCCTAAGCATTTGTGCTGAAGCAATGAAAGGTCTCTGATGCTTTAAAGAGGAACTCTGCCTTTTTTAAAGAAACCTCTCTAAAAATCTGTGCTTTATTTTAGTGAAACCTGAAGGAAAAGGTTCTTCTCCATATCTTGCTCTCAGCTGTAAATATTAACTATTTATATACCTGACAATGACCTTTCGTACCACAAGAGGCACCTGCAGACATTTGATTTACTAAAACTTGTTTTGCTTTGAATATTTTCATTTCAGTTATGCTAGCTGATGGTTGGCTTGCTCTAAGACAATATTATGTTGTATTCTGGTCAGCTGAGATGTAATTTGGCCAGTTTTTCTGTAGGTAAAATTTTACTGCATCCTGACCCACATCACTGCAAATTCTGTTATATAAAGCTCCATATTCCATGCATTAATACCTGAATATCTTCCACAATCTTTTTCCTCAGTTTAAACTTCCCAGCAGTAGTGAGCCTTTTCCACTTGATTTGCTTCTGCTTACTTGCTGACCACAATTAACAGTGGTCATCATCCAAAGCCTGTCTCCTGTCAGCTGAAATAGCATCTTTTTAATGGGGTGATCAAAACCAATACACCATATTGCAAAGGTGGCTTTGTGGGAACTTTCTGCCAAGACAACATAATCCCTGGGGAACCTTACAGCTAAGAAGTATTTTATCAGGTGGTAGACACTGCCGAAGAAGGTGGGGGCACTTCATCTTTTCTTTCTTTCCTTCCCCTCTTCAAAAAGCTTCCATCATTTTGATGATCAGTACAAAGGAAAGGGAAAACAAAAGGAAGACAAAAGCAATTTCTTTTTTTTGTGTGTGTGTTCCAGTCTATGATTTGGCCATATTTCTCTGAGCTACTTTTTTACTCTTATTTCTCTAATAGCATGTAAACAGAAACTCAAGAGTAAAATGAATCCATAAGGACTTTCCTACATTTATGCTTGGACATTGATGGATGGAGAAGCATTTAAGAGAAAAAGAATCAATTGTGAATCCAAACATGTGGGTCATCTCTTCTGAATTTGCAGCATTGTATAGTGGCAGGGATTAGCTCAAATATATTTGTAGTTTCCAGAGGCTCATGGGTCCACCAGTGTATGGCAGACAGTAACACAGAGCTGTGAAATAGGTGAGCGCCACAAGAGTGATTCACAAGAATGATGATTAAAATATTTTTACTTTCCATACATTTGGCAGAATCAAACAGCTGCAGCGCTGAAGTTTTACATATGTAAAAAAATATATACATAAATAAATGTAGCTGCTATTTGTTACAGCTCTGTATTACATCTGACAGGTGACTGCTGTTATGTTATTCCTGGGATAGCACATTTTTCAAGTTATTAAGTTACAGTATGTAATTTATAACCATCAAAGTGGAAAACATTATGCAGTGCATGAATTAGCATGAATTTATGTTACTGAATATATGCTATATTTCTAGAAATATGCAATTATTCCTCAATGGCAAACTTAAGATTTTTGCTATCAGGCTTTGTTTAGTTATATTTAACTGATTAGAAAAGCTTTAATGGATGGAAGCAGGAGTTCTGTAAAAGACATTCCCTAGTAGGTCTAATTTTGTATGAAATGAGCAAAATTGTTTTCTTGATGCATAATAGTCCAGCATTAAATCAAGGTTGTTTGGGTAATGTGGACTGGCAAGGAGGTGCAAAGAGGTAACACAGAACACTGGCTGATGGAACCCTTAAATGTCAGTGATGACATTGTGACTATGGCTTGCCAGGAGTGTTGGTAGGCGTTACCTGTTGGGATCCAGTGTGCCTGTTTATGATAGATGTGCACCTTAATGATAGGTGCATGGAGAGACAGCTCCTTCCATGGAAAGGTGATTGCTGCCACTGCTGCCCTGGCAGTGAATTTAGGGCCAGTCTTTCAGCAGGCTGCTGAGCTGGATCCCACCCTCTACTCATTTCATGTAAGGTGGCAATTCACATGTCCTGCTGTTGATTTAAGAACCAGACACTCCTCACTTCATAGGAATGTCTGGTTCTTAAAACAGTGGAAGACAAGACACATCCACAAAACATAGTATAAGAATTATGTTACCTCCAGATATGTAAATTGTCTTTTACATCTAGACACTGTGCTCTCTGAACAACTGCGCTGATATTTTGCTGTAACTTCCAGTGTTTTAAATACTGTGTTTCTCACAGAATTGTTTTACTATATTTTAAGGTGTTCTGGGGGAAATTTAGTATCTTTTACACTTAGTAATGGAGCTACTTTCCACCTTATTTTTTAGATATGACATGTGAACAGGTACTCTCTTCAGAGTCTGCAGAATTCTCCTGCGAAGGTCCTAGAGAGATCACAAACCCAACAGCTTGATTTGCAAAAGGAGCTGTTATTACTTATCTAGTTTAATAGACACTGTTTTATCTGTGTTCTGGTTCCTAAATATCACTGGAATTCAAATGTTTTTCTTTAGAACAATTAAGGCAATCAAAAGTATTTATTTAAAGCACTGAATCACTTAAAGAAGCAAGTGGAATAATACTAAAATATAAAATAATTTTCCAGTGAAGTTTGATATCTCTGTAAACATTTTAGATGTAATTTTCTTCTGATTCATTTTTGAGTCCACTGAGGATCCAAATATCAAGTTTACTCTCAATTTCCACCTGGGAAGCAAGTACTGTAAATTGGACTACAAGTGAAGAACTGATTGCTTTAGGTAATTTAATTTATACCATTCCAGCATATGTCAGAACACCACTGTATTGTGGAGCGCAATAAAAGGCTGACATGTTAATAGTCTTTTCAGAAAATCCACACTCACTGGGCGTCTCCAGATTTTACACACCCATATTGTGCAAACGTGGCCTACACCTGAGTACTAGAGCCATGCAGAGCAGGCACAAGAATCCCCGAGGGCACCTCTGATCTGAATGTTAAATTAGCTTTATTGAAATATGTCTTTTAAATGAACTGAGCCTGATGTCTTTCTTGTACTGGAATATGCCATCTTAATGATGCTTCCTTGAGAGCTGCTGATGAGAGAAAGGAATGAGGGAACAGTCATTACCATTAGGAGCATGAAAGTGGTGAATGGTGAAAGTTATCCCCTCTCTTCCAGCCACAAGTTTTTATAGTGTCTATTAATACATTGTAGAGCACTGCAGCTTTCTGTGGTACATGCAGGGCCGCTGAGCTAATGCACAGCAATAAATCCCAAATAGCTGCTGCTCTGCCCTGGTCATCTGTGAGAGAGTTCTAAGAGATGTGCTGGCAGAACCCAGAGCAAGGAAGATATGTGTGTCTGGGCACAGCATGAGGACTAATGTGGATCAGAATACTTCCAAAAACATGCATATTCCTCATGAGGATGGCTGTTAGCACATCATGTAGCCCTGGCAGCTGTCCCTTGTGAGATACCACCAAGGAAAGACGTCACCAAGGTTGCCAGTTCCATGGGTGCAAGGGCAGGGAGGGTGCATGAGCACCCTTGGGCTGGCCACAAGAAGGGTGGGAGGCAGCCTGGAAAGCCCAGACAGCAAATCCTGGGACATGCAGGCAGTGACTAACTGTGATAGAGTTCTCACATGGTGAGAGAGTCATGGGCAAAAAAGCAAGGCATTTCAAAATGCATATATGAAAGTAGGCATTCAGTCTGATAAGGTGAAGAGATACCAGGAACAAGGACTGCTGCATAATGGCAGGACCTGCAGATCAGAAAGTGAAGGGTGTATAGGAAGCTAGAGAAGCTAGAGAAGCATTTGATGTTTGAGGGATGAAGGAAAGAAAGGGGAGGGGAGGAAGATCTATCATGATCTGATGTGCAGATTCATGAGTCAGGTATCAGGCATGCAGAGTCAGATGAGTCTTTGACAAAAAC